AGATTTGTAGGATATAAATTTGGATATAAATAGGATATAAATTTGATAAATATGTGCCAGAAATTTCACTATTTCTTATATTGTATCTCCATTCCCTTATTTTTTCCAGTAAAGGATTAATGGTCAATTTATGAGCAATTTCATATAATTGCATTTTTAATGTAAAAATATCTTGCATATGAAGTGAGTAATGGGGTTTTGGGTGATGTGTATCTTTATGAAGCAGTGTTTACAAATGTGGGCTGTGTGAGATAAACAACAGCCATGGACAGTATTTCTCATGTACAGTGAAAAAGTGCCCTCTTGTGGTAGAATGTGTAGTTACAACTGGTGAGCAAGCAAAGTTCTGAAAATCCCAAAACAGACTTAAAGCCAGAATGGTTTTCAAATCTGATATAATTCTGTAACACAATATATACAGTAATAGAAAACATTTACTCTGCAGTTCTGGAATCCTAATTAATTTGACCTCACATGCATACTGTATCTCTAAAAACATTGATCATTGCACTAATATATAAGTGCTAAAAAGCAAATTGCTCCAAGTGGTTACAAAATGATGATTCGAGAGTGATCAATAAAACTGATTAGACTATGGTTATCCAAGAAAAGAAGTAACCATGTTACTTGATATACAATATACAAGTACTCTGCACTCTAAAAAATAACTAGACAACTGTCAAAAGTCTTACATTACCTCCAATTTGAGCTCATTAATAGCCTTTGTTTAGTTTCTCTCCTAGATAATGTATATCAAGTTATTTAAACTATCTGTTAGCAATTTGTAAACAGAAAAATCTTTAGAAAATGCATCCAGCTAATAATCAAATCTTCAAAGAGCAGAATGCATGACTATAATTTGCTTTTCCTCTGGAAGCTGTTTTGTTGATACTGTAGTTACATAGTGCCAAGATAAGTATGTTCACAGCCACTTATTATCACTGACCTGCATGTACTGGGGCAATGTGTTTGGCTGTTATATTCATCAGAGGCATCACAGCAATCTGTCATTAAGAAAAGCAAGAAAACAAAAATCTAGTGTGTTAACAGCCTCTATCAATGATTAAATCACACAGAGGCAAAAAGAACAAGGGCAAAAAACAGAACAAACGGATATTACTACAAAAACTATAAATATTCAAATTTACACCTTTAAGTGTTATAGTAATGTCTAAAGCCCATGCAGTTCGCATGAATTATGACTCTGGATATAACAACATTCTGATCAAATGCATGCTCTTAAAAAGCCACCACAATCCTGAGAACTGAATCTTGAAAGTAATACATATAGGTCAAAGTTAGTTATGTCACACTTATGTGCTATAATAAGGGCAAAACAACTGTCACTGGCAGCTGACTTCAACTTTGACATGAAAGGCAGAATTAAATTCATAAAAAGGTGCCATTTCGAAATTCTGGTGAAAAGGTAAAACCTGATTCATGTTCCCGAAAAATTATAGACAGGAAAAATTTAATTCTCAAGTTATTAATTTAAAAAATGATTTTAGTTATAGAAAAAAATCTTCATTGTTAGCTTTGCTGAAATCCATGAAAGTTATCGGGAATGATGGATACATTGAGACAAACTGCAGTAGCTCTAAGGGGCTCTGTTTCGAAGACAGCAGCCAGAAAAGAATGCAAACCTGCAAAGAGCTGTCAAAAGCAATTCCTACTGACTACTAGATAGGTGTATATGAATCTGTGACAGAGTGTTATGAAAGCTGTCAGTCTGATTGCAATCATTATTGCATGCTGATCTGAAAGGATGCCAACCTAAGAAAAAAGATTTGGTATGAGATGTGGCTTTAAAGAAAAATATGTTTTGAGATAGTTTCATATTAATATCCTGAAATAAAGAGAACAGGTTCTGTTAGAAATTAAGGTTTACTAGCCATTTCAGGATGTTTCTTAAAAAAAACTATAAACCCAATTGTTGAGTATGTTAAAACATACAACAATGACATCTTTAATGTTTAAGAACATCCATTATAATGTTTGGGGCATCCATTATATCATTTTTGCGTTTTAGTAAAGCAATTTTTTAAATTTAAAATAAATTATCTCAAGCCAATCTTTTTTTTTTGCCACTCTAGCTAATGTACCGAATTCATCTGGGAAGAAATTGTTTCGCAAAGAGAATTATTGTAAATTCTAATTCATTTGTAAAATGAATTCATTTTATCAATTGCATAAAGGCTTTCAGCTGTAATTTCTGCTGCTGATGCTTCCTCCAAACACAGAGTTCACAGGTCTGAATTCCTAAGTAAACAACATATTTCATTTTTTTTTATTTTATTTTGTTTTTGCTAACATTAACTGCATGTTTACTGCAGCAATCTGAGTGAAGTACTGTACCTGGAACAAGGGTACCAAGGCCATATCCCGACCAAAACTTAAGCCTGCAACAGTACTTCATCAACAACTTGGCTGATTAGTTTTCCCAATACTTTGTATTGTACAGCTAAATAAAAATTGATTAATACCCCTGTAAATGCTGAAAAAGTAAAGAATGTATCTGGGAAAGACTTGTTTTATACTGTGTTTTATACTAGGGTAGATTGTGGTTCTAGTAAAACACTTAAGAAGACTTAAAAGTTATAATACATACATTTTATTTAGCAGCTCTGTCTAATCTCATTCAGACAATAACAATTTGACAGATAATCTTTTTGACTTTGATGATTTCGTAATCCTTAGAATATGGTGTAAATCAAACCTGGACTCCTTATTTGGAAAAAAACCATTCAAGCATAACAATTTTTCATTTTAAGGGTAAAGATGCAATGTAATAAAGTAGAAAAATTGCATCACTAGGGAAACTCAAAAAGAAAATTAAACAACAAAACAGAAACTATAGTGAATTACTGCATATTGGCCTTATTCATTGACTTCCCAGTTGCCAAACAATTCAGAAAGTATTTTGAATTTTGTCTATAATTTTTTCTGACCTACAGTAACCATTCATTTTGCTGCTTTTACAGGTCCAGTGTTTCACCTAATCTCCCAGATTCAGTTCAGTTTATTTGTCATATTCACAAGTGTAATGAAATGCTTATGCCAACTTGCAACACAACTCCACTCTCCAGCGCAACGTTGAATAAAATGTCAATGTTTGTCTGCAACAATTACGCACAGACAATTAGAGAACAATTATTCACATAACTGTGTGATTAATTATGTCAATGAATTATATTGTTCCAATAAAGCTTTAAGAACAAAAATATGTATTGCTTTATGTTGTTTCATGTTCTATGGATTTATATTTCTTTAAATAACGATTATGAATTTTCATGTTTTTTTCATGAATTTGCATATCAGTATTTTTAATTTCACATAGTTCATACAGGAGGACAAGTGCATTTCTTTGTGACTATATCCATGCCTCCTTCCATTTTTTTAACCACTTCTTCTAATGCAGGGTCGTGTGGGAGCTGAATCCTGTCCCGGAAAACAATGGTCACAAGGCAGGGTACCAACTGGATGGGATGCCAGTTTATCACAGGGCAAGACACACAGACACAAAGACACGCACACACTCACACCTAAGGCCAGTTGCCCCAGGTGCCAATTAATCTACCCGTATGTTTTTTTTTACTTTGGGAACTGTGGGAGGAAACCAGAGCACCCAGGGGAAACCAGTGCAAACAAAGGGAGATCACGTAAACTTCAAGCAGAAGCACCCCAGGTCTGGAATTGAACCCGTGGCCCCAGTTCTGCAAGGCAATGCTAACTGCTGTGCCACAGTGCCGCACCACAATATGTCTTCTCCAACCAAATTATGTCTATGTTTATAGGTCAATGCAAAGTACATTTTCGGGTGCAACTTCTGGAGTGATATGAAAGCTCAAATAAGATACTATAGGGGAACAAGTAAAGGCTTTTCCTTGCTGAGAAGAAAAGAAACAACTTTCCAGCTGTGGAGCCTTCTTCAGGTATGGGAAGAAGGCTCAACACAAAGAAGGCACACACCCGAAGAAGGCTCCACAGTCGAAACGTTGTGTTTCTTTTCTTCTCTTTTCAGCACTTGTTCCTTTGCAGCCTACGCATACAGTATGTTAAAGAACTACTTTAACATACTGTAAGACAAAAATAAGAGCAAAAATGTAAACAGAGTTTAATAAAACAAAATCATGACCACTAACATATCGAGAAGGAAAGGGAGTTCCTTACCACAGATTCCATCATTAACTCTTGATGAAGGGATGTAATGGGGACGGAAACCAAGATTAGTGCAATAAAACCGCCCATTTGAACATGCCGCAGTACCTGTGAAAGAGTAAAGCACTTTAAACAGAAAAATCTTAAATGTTGTGCTTTAAATCATCTGCCTCTAGCTCACTGTGCTATTCTGAACCTGGTCAGGAACTAGGAATCATCGATGACAATGAGGGATTGAGAATAGGTAAATTCATGTTGGAAACACAGTAATAACAAAGCACAGCCTCAACATTTACAGATGTGGGTGGACAACAAGATACAAATGTTTATCATTCAATGCAATGTGAAGATTAGTTAGACTCTATCTTGATAGAATTTAATTCCAAAAAGCACTGAAAAATAAGGTATACATCTAAAACACTCTGCATTATTTTTGTTACATTACTGTTTTCTGGCTAAGCCAAATGGCACTAGGAGGCTTTGAGTGTAAGGATGTTGTAACATTTAACTGTAATTCTGATAGAGGTAAGAGTTTAAGGTCTATGTCCTTTACATGCAAAGAGATTAATTAATAAAGGATGCTGTGCCGGACTCTATGTTATCTGCATGATTCCTTTGAACATGCCTGACATTATTCATAATTAACAAAACCTGCCTCTCAGTTCTGGTCTTGTAAATAACAAGTGACAATGAATGTTTCTAAACCAATTCCTGGATCTTCTCTTGTTCATTCTTATGATTCAGTGAGGCAAGCTTTAACATAACTGACTGCAAGCCAAGCAAATGTCTTTGACCTTTGTGTCCACATTAAACTTGCAGCAGTATCTAAATTTTATTAATATACAGTAGGTTCTCAGACATTATGTATATCTTCCTAAGAAGAAAGAGAAAGAGTGACTCCCAATATTGGCGATGTAACTAGAATAGAAACATCCTTAAAAATAAATTTCCAATAATGTAATACAACTGAAGATGGCAGTATTATTCAAAAACAGGACTTTGAGGCACATGGGAAGAGCAACAAACAGGTTACTGTTTAAACTGTTCCTGTTATTTAAAGTTACACAAAGATATCTGAAGTAAATGTCCAGTAAATGCAATAAAATAATAAAGGACATTATTTTTCCAAGAAAATGAAACATAGAGGACATTTGTATAAAAAGATTAGTATCTCTGCAGTGAAAATCTGTAGTTGTTCTGATTTCTTTTCATCTTTGTGAAGTGTTCTGTCTGAGTTTTCAAGTTTAGATAAAAAATATTCACTGTAAAAAATAAGTATAAATGATTTGTAACTCAACAACATGGAATATCATTGGTAGGGGTGCAGTTTTGCATGACTCTGTGCATTAAAAGAAAACAAAATGTTTCTACATTAATTAAATGGCTGCAATATTAAGACATTTAAGATTTAAGCCATGATAATGCTTCTGAAAATGAAATGACCTAATTTTAAAACAAAGATGGAATATCAATTTAAGTTCAAGAATGCAAAATAAAAGCATTTCATGCTTCTTAAGCTTATGGATTTATATAAAGTAGCTTAAAATTAATAAATAAAATTAAAATACCAGTAGTGCCAATCAAGAATGCTAAACCAATTTTGCATGCTTGCACATCCCATACATGGAAGCACAGTCACACGGACAGTATTCCACATTCTGTACCTCTGACAATGTTTTTGGAAACAATATTGAAAACATATTGAGTGTTTAACTGAGGTTTCTGTGTATGTGATGAATCTCACATTCATCAAAAACAATCTTAATGGGGACACCGTGAAGCTGCAAGTGTTGTCCTTTGAATAAGACAAACTGATGTCCTGACTACCTGGTTATTAAAGATCCCAAGGCACTGTTAAAAAGAATAGGGGTGTTATCCTTGTTACACTGGCTAAATTCCACCTTGACTGGCACAATCTGGCCTACTGTACCTAAATTTTCCCGCTGTTTCAACCAGTGAAGCAATTTCTATGGTTGGAACTTATAAACCTAACCATATAGATAGAGGGAATGATGTCACATGATGGCTACTGCATGTCACCCACGTGGGAGTTGTCAGGGATTAATTATATGGGTTTCCTCCTCCATGGAAAGCACTTTAGGATTTAAAGTTCAATACTGCTTTAAGAAATTAACTGTTAAGAGTTATTTTAGGTTTAAACACTTGGTCTTCACATGATATGAGTGTTGCATTCCCAGACATGCAGTGTTTCTGTCATTTGAGTTATTATCTAAAGTCAGACTTGTCTGCCTTAGTTTACATATAAACATAAGATTAGTTTATGACAGAACTCTATTTGAAAGCAAACACTTTCTCATGACTTTGGTTTAACTAAAATAGCTTAACATCCCTATGCTTGAAATAGCTTATGAATCAACAACTGTTGTTGCATCTTCAGATTTAACATATCTAAACATGAATAAAATCATAACACATCTAGAGATTTAGCATAATCACAGATAGTCACCTGGTTCATCTGAGCCATCAGGGCAGTCACAATAGTCATCATTCACTTGGTCAAAGGGAATGAGCTTTGAACCATCAATGCAGAGAAAAGATGTTTTCTCTTTGTAAAACCTCCGATCTACAAAGGAATAATAAAGAGAGTATTGGTCGACGTTGAAAAGTCCAATTTTGAGAAAATAGTGAATTTTTTTTAAAGGTTGGATGGATGTTCTCATGCTAATGATAATATAATGTATATTTTAAAAAATCAGTTATCAGATTCCTCCGGATATTTTTATTTCTATCAACTTGAAAATGTTCATGCTTGCACAGTCTATCATGTAAAAATGATGCTCAAGCAAACATTATATTTTGAAATATGGAAAAAAGCAAATGACTTAACATTCAAAATTGTTTAGATTACAACAGATAAGATTTAAACTCTTCAAAAAGGCATGCAAAACTAAAAAAGCACAGAGGCTACTGTTGCAAATGACTAAGGCTAACAATGAAACTGCTTATTGTGCAGATGAGAAAATGCACTCATTTTAGAGTTGGCTGATTAAATTGGAGATGATAGCTGTACAGTATGCTTGGGTTACATGATTTTGACCTACATCCCCTTTAAATAAGGTACAAACATAAATCCGAGAGCTTTTTTCAAACATATACTGTATATATTGAATAATTAAAGTGCTATACTGTATGAAAGGTTTGCATTACAGACAGTACTTCATTTCCACAGAACTAAAAAGGGCTTGTACAGTCAGTGTCAAATCTGTTGTGAGTTTCATATGGTGTTTTAGCAGTCCTAATGTGTTGAGGAACGATTATACTTTATTGAATTCAATTCTAGAAATGAATGGCACAACAAATATCGTTACACACAACCACTTAGCATTACAGCTAGTCTACAGTCTTACTTATAAATGTGTAGATGCTTGAGCACCACCACCTTAGGATTGTGTTATCAAAGGCAGCTTAAATATGTTAGAAAACATCTACATTGAGAACGGCATAACCTGAAGTTGCTAATAATATTTATTTAATAAATTCTAAAATGTTTTTAAAGTTTTTTTTTATTGGTATTTTTTTTATTTCAAATCCACTCTACACTACTACATTTTGATTTTGTTCATACCTGGCACACTCGCGAACAACGTTTATTATCATAAACGTAACAAAATAAACCAAATCCATGAATACCTGCTACTCTGACGCCTGTGTTCAAATATGCACAGTGCTTTTCAGAGCAAGCGGTCACATTACTGTATTAGCATTGCTGCATCCGCATTGCAATACTGAGGACAAATTAAACTGTAACTGTTTATTTAGGAGTAATATTCTGTGTTGGTGTTTTTTTTTTTATTTCGGGGAAAACAGCGCATTAAAAGGGATTCTTTGCTGAAATCACTTACATGCCAGGGAAATTCCTCTTATTTTCCTTGAGTCCACATATGCTGTGAACCAAATTGTCATTGCAATAATAATGTGATATTGCATTTCTTTAAGGTATGCTTTCTCAAACTACAGCTGCACACAGAACATAGTCAAAGCTATTCTGAACCCTAGACAAACCGACGTTACTGCACTTCCTGGAACTACTGTATCCCACAAGGTCCGGAACATGTGATTGGTTGACGTATCGGCCCTTGCGCCATTTTTAAAGGTATATCGCAACTGTGCTAATATGTTTCTCTACAAAATACTCTTGAAAATGTTTTGAGTGTGTATTTCAATTTTACTTCTGTTTTTATTTTTCACATGCAATTCCAACTACAAAAAATGTTCAAGTTTAAAATCATGAATAGTTTTATTTCTTCTGATTCATTATGAACAGATCCGGGTAAGATCTTGCTGACAGTTCAGTTGAGTTCAATGTAATGAAGTGAACACCCTCCCCTTCTCCTTTTTTCACGTTTATTTCTGTATTTATTACTCTAATGATTTTCTCTTTTATGTGTTTTTGTTTTTACCCTGTAAAGTGCCCCCAAACGCTTTTGGTGTACGAGTACAGTGAAATAAATGTTAGGATCCTTGTAACACACAGCAAGTAAAAACTAGTCTTGATTCGGTGATTAGGGTGATTAAGTTTTCTTTTATTCACATTTTCTCACTCGTACTGATTTATTGTTATCTTGTATTTCCACTGTTCAATCACCCATCAAAGTGGGTCATTATTGGAAAATTGTGTATTTGGTGTTTAAACAATGAACACTTATATTCGCAAAAGTAGGCTTTAGCAGGGTAACTCACAAAAAGGAAAGCACCCAAAGGACACCCATGCAAATTTGGGAAGAACATATAAACTCCACACCCAGTTCTGCATGGTAACAATGCTGACCACTGCACCACCATGCCATCTTACTTTTAAAATGGAAAACAAAATTATGTTTGCAATAATAATAAGTGTTACTGTTGTTGTTGTTGTTGTTGTTGTTGTTGTTGTTGTTGTTGTTGTTGTTACATACACTGTTTTTCACTATTTAACAAGATGAATAAGATAATTTTAATCAAACCTTCTTGTAAATGTTTTAGTCAGGAGTCTCTATAGTTTGGCACAACTTCTAGTTATACACTAACATTCATGCATTGTGGACCAAGTGCTAAATGTATTAAGGAAATGAATGTTGGGTGTCAATATGAATAATAAACGTGAAAGTTAAATATTAGTTAAATTGTGAGCAATCGTCCTGTGCTGGACTTTATAAAGAAGTTGTCAGTTTATTATAAACCCTTCTGCCCTGGAGTAAGGAATTTGACAGGCAAACCCTGAAGCAGAGAAGTGGTTATTTTAAAGATTCCAGTTTGCTGTGAGCAGAGTTGTCAGTACCTAAAGACTCTGCTTGCATGGAACTGTTACTGTACAATATAGACTCATCAGAGAGTAAAAAGGGCTGAACAGTGTCACAGTAGTCAGCATTTCTGCCTTACAGCACTGGGGTCCTGTGTTCAAGTCTGAACAGGTGGTGCTGTCTGCATGTAGTTGGTATGTTTTCCCCTTTTTTGCATGGGTTTTCACTGGGAGCTCCGGTTGCTTGTCAGGATGGGCTCCAGCTCCCCCATGACCATGAATGGGATGAAGCCATTGGAAAATGGATGGAACACGAAAAGTGTTTTGTCCGGTACAGTAGCAAAATAAAAGTGTTTCAGGCTTTTCAAACCCTTTGAATAAAGATTTGCCTCTTGATGTAATTCAGCAAGTTCACAACATTTCCTCTCATACATTACTGATTGATACCTGTTGAGTCCAACAGCTTGTGCTAACTATTTGCCACAGATGGCTAAAGGTGTTTCTCATGAGTCACATGGATTTCCCTTCATTAAATTTGTAAAACAACTGTGAAACCTAAAAATAACGTTATGTGACTATTTACACCAACAAATACAATACATCTACACAACTCATCCTACAGGTGCTTGATTGGCTTGAGATCCAGTTCAGTACATTGTAAATTGAGCTATAAAGGCTAAGCAATCCAAAACTGGGAACCTTTAAATATGATCATTTCTATAATTTAATGCACCAGATTAGATTAGCTTTGTCAAACATACTTATACACACAAAGCAATTAATCAATGTTTAAAATCATTACATCTCTAGCCAGTTGTTCACTCAGTCTTTCTACTCAATGAGTCTCAAGACTATGATTAGTAGGTATAGACCACTTTTACTAGGTATTTGTTATTCAGGAAAAAGCAGAAAGCTCTCTGAAAATGATTTATTAGGTGTAAATGCAACTTCATTACATCTCATAAATGGATTTATTTTTCCCTTAGATTCTATCAGCTTTTTCATTAGAATGTTTAATGACTTATTTTAAATAGGCAAGCTCAAAAATAAAAACAAACGATTACTTTCATTTATGTGATTGTATGAATACATTCAAAACTGTTTAAGTTGTCAGTCTAATGTGCTGTAGTTTATACTGATTTTTGTATAGTAAATTTAAATAGGTGTTTCTGATCTTATACAGTAAATTGTACAGGCTAGTACATTATTGCAATTTTAGATTACTGTCGGTTTTTCAAATAGCAGCTTTCAATCTTACCCTCAGGCACACATCTTTTGTGAATTGTTATATATACTGTATATACAGTATTGCTGGTTACATTTTCATGTTCTCTAGATATTGTTTCCCCAGGGATAAAAGTCCACAGTTTTTGTCTCACTACCTTAGACATTGTCCTACAAATAAACATGCGGTAAATATTGCTCTCAAAACCTTCTTCAGAACAGCTTTTACTTAACTGGTTCTGTTATTTACCCCTTTGCTCCTCCTGTATTCAGTACCCCATCTACTGTTTCCTCTCATTATGTATTCTCATACATATCTCATGCATATCTTGTGTATTTTTTATTGTTGTTGTCAATCTGTGAAGCACTTTGAGAAGCCACCATTAAAGGTACAGTACTATATAAAATAAAGTTTATTATTATTAAATAGCACTGTAACGTGAACTACGAATCGAGAAAAAGATAAGATACAATGTTTTATTTACTGGAAGAATCATATTAAACGTTAGACTAAAAAAACACTGTACCAGCTGTAGCCTAGGGCTTTTCATTATTCCATTGTGACCAGGGTTCCCCAAGGCACAATTGGGTTGGTATTAGTCAGCCAGGGACTCTCTCAGCTTCCTGGCAAACAGCAGCTCCTGGAATCTATCAAGCCCTGTAGGCACAGAGTGATGTCAAATGAGGTTGCTCCCACAGTCAGAACTAAGTCTTTTGTACCTAACACTGCCAAGTCTGCAGCAGGTCAGAAGCAGAGTGGTTCTGCCAGTTGGGTGTCTCAGTGGAATGTGTCCACAGGTCCTCATTTTTCCATTTAGTGCAGAGCTTTTAGCTACTGTATTAACCTACTTAGTTATAAACAGCTGGTGATTCCTATTCAATTCTAATCTTTTACAAAATTGTAAAATGAAATTCTGTTATTCTAACAAAACTATTAATATTTGGTATTATTGTATACCTATGAGTAGTATATTTATCTTATTTGACCTAGGTACTGTAGCAATTTAATTTACTTTTACAATTACAAACTTACTTTCACACTTTGCTGAAGAAACTGTACAGTATATACTGCCACAGGAATGATTGTTGTTAGATAAAATAATTGTTATATAGTAATGATATTTGGTACAGGTATATTGTTGTTAATATGTAACAATATTTGTTTGTTTTGAATATATAAACTTGCAGTGAGAATACACTTCTTTGGAATAATCCCTATTATTTAAGGTGTAAAGAGTAATAGAGCTCATGATGTGGACGTATCAATTGTGGAATTTGTTAAGTAGCATATGAATGTGCCAATATAAACCCAACGTTTTCTAAACTTGATAATTATCTATATTCACTTTTCTAATACATACAGTAAAGCATTAAAATGTGTGTGATTTAGTGTTATTTAAAGAATTTCATATTTACTCTACTGTGTAGATGTACAGTACACATCTTCTAGTAGAGTTTTTTGCCCACAGCTGTAGAGCATATTGTTTTTACCAGAGGATACTTTTCTCCTGATCAAATATTATTTAAGTATGGGTGTACTGTTGGGTGGATTAAATATACAAATGATTTGTTTATGTTATTGTTTAGTGATAGGTTTTTTGTTAATACTAACAATCCAGTAAAACATACTGTACAATATGTAACAAAATGTCCCGTAGTTAGAAATTGTTAGTATTACTCATAATGGCATCATATGTACTTTTGTTTTGCTTTTCATTTTGTAGAGATCACTGTTATTTGAAATATACTCATTGTAAAATGCCATGTTGATAGCAGTTAAAATCGTTCTATTTTTCAGCGGTTTTGTTATTTTAGCATATGATGATGTGTTCATATAAATTCACGAGAGTCTATGGTAAACATGAAAAACAGCCAAGTTTCCATCTTGCTGAAATGTGAGTGTTCAGTGACAGAAGAAGAAAAGGAAATCCACAGTAAAATGTAACAAAGAAATCAATTTTTAGGAAACTGTTTACTCTCCCATCAATCACTATCTTGTGCCATACTGGAAAAGGCCTCAGACGACTTATTAAATAGTCATGTTCCATTAAACAACAGTATTTGTTTTTCTGCATTGTTTACATTCAGTGTATTATAAAAGTTGGAGATGTGTTACAGTCATGAAAATAGTAAAGAAAAACTGTTAATAGTAAGATTGGCCTGAGTAAAATTATTTGACTTCATAATTAAAGGAATTACAGATTTTAAAAGTGAAATATAAACATACATGTTCTTGCAAGTTTAATTAATTTTATAGCTTCATAAGTACAGGTTATATTTTTTTAATCTAAAAAACAAATAAAAGATTTGCAAAAACATATAGCCTAATACATCAGCATCTATTGTAGTAATGTCTTGTAATGTGTCTGTAATTATTCTTTTCTGGTGTGTAAGGTCAAAGACAATTTTTGGGGACAATAAAACAAATATCTATCCAGGATTACTTTTTTGTGTTTTTCTCCATAGTTCCTTGAATATTTTGTGGTGATTGTTAGATCAATCATAATGACACTAATTGGGTCATTTACAGTATGAGTCCTCCATTTTTTCATGTTGTGTAATGATTCCAGTAAACTTATCTTTTTATAATTGCCAGGTTAATTCTGTTTTTGAAGCTGTTTTGGTGCATCTTATGCAACGTGCAACCTCATATGGATCCATTTTTTTTTCCTTGCTGAAATGTAATTTGGATTTCGAATGCATTTTTAACCCATGATACTGTTAACATTCATCAAAATACCAGTCTTGTTACAGATCAGATTAGAAACTGATTTGATTCCTTTATTTTGTCAAGCTATCAATTTAGGGCACACAGCATTTGTGTTAGACAATGAAAACTCATAAAAGGATCTGTAAGTTTGGGAAACCTTCATTTCATTATACTTTTGAAATATCTACTCCTCTCAAGGAAGGTTTTTCATCCAGACACCAAATTTCCCTCCTGTGGCTTTTGGATGTAGGGATATTGAAAGTGTAATGTATTAAAATTGTACGGTCAACTGATGACAATACCGTCATCAGGGGTTCTTTTATAAGGAAAACCAGATGGAATGGATATTTTTAACCCTTTACTCAGTCACCGCCGGTACTTCAGTTAACCTGTACCTGTACGTCAAATTTACTGTAAATAAACTGTACAGTATGTCGTCCATTATTGAAAACCCATGTAATGTGATTGACTACAGCAAAACAACTGTGTACACCCGACTATACCGATATGTATTTTTTGCACTTTCTGTTGAGTGATTTTTGAATTGTACACATTATGTTATTGTTAAAAAACACCTAAACAATCAAATAAAAAGAAAGAAAAAATAAAAGTAGTTTAAGTATTTAGCGTGTTATACAGTACTTATAAAAAGATCTTGAAATTATATGTAATAATTTTGTCTTTGAAGAGTTCCCGCACCTTGCATATTATAATTATATTAGATGTCTGTGATATTTTAAAAATAAAACGTTTTCGTTCCACGTTTTAGGTTGTCATATGTAGGCTTTTCTTCGTGGTAATATACAGTATCATGAAATTACGCTTATTGAATATTTATTGTCCTTGTTAGTTTTCTGTATTCGCACTTGTACCTAATATCTTCATAATATCTCAATATCTCAATATCATAATATCTCAATTTCATAATTAAACTCTATTCAAGGCAGAAGCCTTATTTTTTAAAGAAACAGTTAAAAACATTTGCGTCTGTGTTCATTTGATCTTTAAAACAAGCATGTTGCAACATCGCGGATGCTTACCTGTTAGATGCTTACTTTTAAAACCAATCATTAAACTTTGGACTGGAAAGAAAAACGAATTAGAAAACATTGGACACATTTTAAAATCCGTGAACCATTGGCACCTTATTGGCAAGTGTATGCAAGTTTGCCACAATATTCACCTCAAGGAAATATTGGCACAGAGCATAAAAATTCGAAAGAAGAACTTTTTTAAAGAAATTCCTGACATATCTGTTTATAGTAGTGGTGATGTTGGTTTAATTGTATTTATTTACGTTCTTTGAAAGAATTACATGCTTATGTGATTGTCAAATAATTAAATGCAATAATAATAATTGCACAAGACAATAACACTACTAGCTTACGGGTTATGATTATTATACACGAGTATAAATCAGACGAACCAGAGCAGACCAAAATATTAGCATTTATTATTTCTTTCTGATCTTTTTTATATAAAATCAATTATTTTAAGCTACTCGTTTTCATTGTGAGTGAGAAGATCTTTTTTGTTCCATCTCTTGATGTCCACAGCCCTCCTTCAGACAGGTGAGCGCACTGACTGCTCGTCTAAAATGCAGCACAGGTGCAAACAAAACTTGTTCGAGGGCGCGATGACAGCTATGAAGCACCTGGGTCAACAGGACCCACGTTTACTAAGCATTCAGCTGTTTGAAGAGGTGGGGATGTTGGAACGAGAATGTTAAATTCAAGCCATTCCACCATTCGCGTCCCAACATACAGTACGCCGTTACTGAGGACCTAAACATTGACTATAAACAAAGTTATTTTGCGCCCAGTGTTCTTAAGAACACGATTTATACAGTAGGACAATCTGATACAAAATGGCAATAATAGAACAGAGTAAAAAAACTAAACTGATAATACAGAAATCAAACTGAAACATAACCTGTACGAAAAAATACATTTACATTTGTTGTAATCAGTCTTATGAAATCATTCTTCTAACGTTCAATGGGTTATACTGTATGTACTGTACGTGTACCTCATTCACAGATATTGAAGCAGGTTTAAGCCTGTTAGACCTATAAACAGTAGTTCTATACCTACTTTACTGATTTAATTAAAATGATTACTGTACTGTATATATTTTTATTTTTCTTAATGATATCTTTTTCATTAAAAATGTAGGCAAAAGATTAAGACCTTGGAATTAATAAGGGACAGTACAAAGAAACAGAAACCTTATTACAGTATATACATTCCTTTAAGCTTCAGTAGGCCTGTATTTACATTACAAATATTAACTTGTTATATATTCATACATAATACTTTTCAACACGACAATATGTTTATGCAAATTTCACCCAATCTTGCTGTAATATATAATAATACTAAGATATATATTGTTCTGTTGTGAAATATACAGTATATTGTGAAAAAGCAATAATACATTAATCTCCCTATAGTATGTATACTGTATTCTGTTAAATATAGTAGTGATGTAAGAGATACAGTGAATTGTCAGTTTTATCAAACGGAAAACAAGATGCTTTTCAAATTTATTTTAAAATAACTGAATACCTTTATTAAAATTACATATGCTTAGAAAAAGTAGTAGTTACATTTCATATAAACACTGAAAAAAATATCAAGTTTGTCTAATATTTGTTCCTCCTTTCATGTGGTACAGTACATCCTTCCTTTTAGACTTATAAAAACTGTTTAAACACCTGTTCAATGTCGTGGAAAAACAAGTATACTTTCCCTTTAGTCGAGGTACACACCAATTCAAATCTACAGAATTACTTTTTTAAAAAGACTACTAATATTTGTTTAATTTGTAGTACGTACACACAAGGCAACCAACACATTTATTGAGGATCTTAGAACAGTTATTTAAAAAAATAAATTAAAATTTATATTTCATCATATTTGCTTTATTTTTAATAAAAACTTCCAAATAAAAAAAAAACGTTTTCAAACAGAAACAGTATGAAATAGACTAACAAGAAATGATTTTGAAATGTAACTTTATTAAGGTATTATAGATTTAACAATATAACGTAGGAAAACACATAATTTTAAAATACACCCTGAACCAGTGCAGATTTAAATAACAGAGACTCCATGTTTTTTCCGATGGTTTGCGCTGACTTCAACAAAGTTACTGTTGAGTAAAATTACTATGCTTATATTCGTGCGAAATAGATTACGGTTTAACTGAAATGCTTTGCTTATAGAGTACATCTTTAACGTAGGACGTTGTTACGGAAAAGTGTATTCTTAAAGGAGTTTTTAGGTGTCGTAAAACTTCAAGGTTGTGAACCATTTAAAATGGACAATGCAAAACGCTAAATAAAAAGAATAACATGAATCAAAGGGTTAGGTCTGCTACGTTCTGAGGAGACAGTTTTAATGTTGGCACTTTATGGCTTTTCATGACTTAGCCTAGAATACAGTCCACTATTACACAAAGGCTCCTTGTTCTGGAGGTAGGAAAAATCTCTTATCATTCCTGGAAACGAATAGTCCATAGGTGGCCGAAGTGGAAATGCAGGCATCAATCCGGGTGTCACATAAGGAGACATAAAACTAGTTATTGCTCCCCCAGAAGAAGAATATGCTAGCCTCAACGGACTGATTCCGAGTCGGGGGTTCAAACCATATATACTGTCACCTGCGCTGGATGGAGTTGTTTGCAAAGGAGAGAACGCGGACTTGGAGCTCAGTTGTCCGAATCCCCCTCCAGTAATTCCAAAACCGGAGGGTCTATGGAAAGTTGAAGACTCGGGAGTTGGGATATCGCTATCCCCTGAGAGGGGTTTATCCTCTTTTGAATTTAAAACTAGCTCGATTGCCTTAACTATGTCGCCTTTGCAGGTCTTCACCACAGCTTCCAGGGTGTCCCGCTTGTGGTGAGGGAAGATTTTCATCATGATATCGGTGGGGTCCCTGTGTCTAGATGAGGATGCGGGAGCACTCGGCTCGGGCGAAGAGAAGTCCTTATGTCTCTCGGACTCGCTGCCCGATTCCAGGTCTGACGAGGACAGCGATCTTGGGCTTTCAGCGTGTTCAGAAAGTTGATCGGAGCCAGGTGATTGAACGCCCTTGTCTTTTTCTGATTTTTCCAAAGAGGAATGAGAGTTTTCTCGAAGGTTTGGGCAAGCAGAGTTCTTTCTCAAAGTAGAGGAAACCAACTGCGCAGAATGGGGTGCAAACAAAGGACGTGCCAGAAATCCGTTGTATACATTATATGTGGATATCTTGTCTTCTGAAATAACGAGAAACAAGAAGAAAGTGCTGATTAAAGCAATGTGACAAAATAAATTACATTTCAGGGTACTATCAATTTACTCAAATTAATTTGTTTCCAAGAAACTACTCTGTTGCGTTTTGTTTCGTACAATTTTAATGTCCTGATGGACAGTATTAACCAGTAAAATGTGAAATTTAAAAGGGGCTTGCAGTCTCACGGAGTCTCTTGATTTAGCCATTTCTGTCCCCCTCCTGGTTAGGTAAACGTTAAAGTGCAGAGGCCTAAACAGAAACATTTTCCCTTTCCTACAATTTAGGCTGGAATTGATGTCACTTACATTCATTCTGTTACCGTGTTTAATTCTACACTTTGCAATCTACTGATTCACCCACCATGTCATTCACTTTACATTAGTATTGCAATAAAACATCTGAAAGTAAATTAACTTTCGAAACCAGTAGAAACTGATAAAAATGTTAAGGTTTTATTTTAACGTATTTATAGTTTTATAAATATTGACTTTTAACATGTAATTATGTCAATAATGTTTGTCTGCACGGTGAATATTCCGTTACCAAAGTTTGAAATTCACGTTTGACATCAATCCTATATACAGAATTTAAGGTTATTTTTAATTTGAATAAAGTTTACAAACGGTCAGTGTCCTTAAATGCATATTAACCTTATACATTGACTTGTAAAATCTATTCATAAAATGAGAAACCACTTTGACATATTTACACTTAAAATGAGCACTTTCGTACAATGTGCGTAGAAAGGCAACGGCGTAACATCACATCTGCAAAACAAATAAATATAAAATAGTACGCATATAATAAAATTACCGTCTTTATGATCCTCAATACCAAACGGCTCATAACCGGGAGTTCTTGCAGATGGGGTGCTTAGTTGTCCTGTCCCACCCGGGGCCCCCACGGATGCCATCACGCCGAGACCCGGCTCGCTTGTTCCAGCCCCAGTGTACATAAACTGCAGCTCTCGGGCCTCGCTCTCCTCTTGTGCCTGCTGCCTCCGCAGAGCTACCTGTGCAGCCATGACCCTCTGCCTTTCAGCAATGAGGGTGCACTTGGCACACACGCAATCCCTCCAGCGACAAAAGCGCTTGTGTCCCTTCAAGGCAGATACGACTCCGTGGTTTCTGCATCGGGCACACTTTGGGGTCCGGGGATAGCCCCTGTCCAGAGAGGGGTTGCAGGCTGCCGCGGCAGCAGCACGGAGAAACAGAGGTGGGGGTCGCAGAAGAGAAGCGGACACCTGCAGTCCACCGACCGAAATCGAGGACGGGGGATGCCCTGGCAAACCAGACTGAGGTAATGGTCTGCTGCTTCCTTCCATCGCGGTGTGGTGCCTGGGGACTACTTGTCTTAAAGTCCAAAGTGGTAGCCTACCAGTCCACCAAATGCAGGAGGAAAGACTGACGTTGAGAAGGGTGTGCACATCTGCTGTTCCCACTGAGAAATAGAATCACCTTTCCGTCTTCGCCCTTCTGTCTTAATGTTCCTTCTCCTAAAGGCGGTATCCTAAATGAATTTCTAAAGATCCCAATTGAGTTGGGATTAACTGAAAAACTTTAGGACACTCCCCTTCAGGTCCTCTCTGCAAATAAAAAAAATATATTTTACCCGGTCTTTAACTTCTAGTTAACATCCAAATGGCTTAATATTACTCATCACACACTACAAGGTAGTAAAGGTGTTTTTATTTGATACAACACTCTTCCATTGCCTACGTGAATCGCAAAATCCCGTCTATTGGCAGGTATTGCTTTACAGTTTCGAGTCACCCAAATGGTAAAATAATCCATTGTGTTAATTAAAGATTTTTTTATTTCGCAAACATGCGATATGATTACAGAAAAATCAAGATAATACATTTCATAATACCTGTATTTGTTATAGCAGAATACGTCAAAAGCAGATTATGGTGATAACAATATTTTGTACCCTTTTAAGCAAAAGCAAAAGCAAAAAAAAAAAGATCGTGTTTTGCATTCTTATTTTGTCTGCTGTCCTTTAAAGTTTAATTATTCTCCTTAGTTAAAAAAAAATAAAACCATAAACACTTAAACTAAAATATTGCCCTGGAGGACTAGATGGGAATCACAACTAGTATCTAGTCCAAAATCATTCTCATGACACCAACTGTGGAAATGTGTGTTATCACACTTTATCTTTATTCCTAAAACGTTTCGCCTGTAATAACGTGCTTTCTTTAAACCTCCAACTTAAAATCTACTACTACAGTGTTGCTGTGAAAAATCAAGTTAAATCAGAAACAGATCTGCTGTATAACGAAGACGAGCACTGATTTATGAACACATGGGTGCCAAACGTATGCGTGCAAATTTAACAAACAGGTGTTTTAACTCTGGAAAGCATGATTCTCTCCGTATTTTTTTTGTGTGTGGAAAATACAGTAAAGTTGTTAAAAGGTATTTGAAAATTATAAGAATGATTAATGAATCGTTAATGTTTGCAACCCCCTTTGCTATAATTAAAATAAATACTCACGTTACTTGTATTCTTTACAAAGTTCTTGTCTGCGATTCAATTGTTTAATTTTCTCTGAAGTAACATCTGTAACAAGGGCAAAATCTCACATGACGAAGCAGGCGGCCCGCAGCCAAATATTAACGTCAAACATTTTGAAGCCCACACATAATGCCTTAGAGTTTTGATTAACTGTAAGTTGTGATCTAGGGAATTTACGCTGAATTTGAGTTGACTCGTTGTTCCAGCACTCAGGTTATTATCTGCATTGTCACCAGCAGGGGGCCCGTCGAGCTGCATAATCGTACTTTATCAGACGTGCATCATCAGTATATTCACAATCTTAAACATTTGCAATACAAAAACCAAACCTGCATTCCACAGACCTCCTTTTTTAACATGTTCACATACGCAATACTTCTCCATTCCATCCCATCTATTTTTGAGAAGACCATCCATTTAAGAATTTGGAAAGAATTTACAGTGAATTATATGCATCAAATCTACAATAATTTTATCTGTTGACTCTCTGACACTGAAATCTGGGGATGTCACCAGTTGTAAATCAGTTATGTTTACTGTCAAACCAGTTGTAACAATAGATGAAGGATTTCCGTTTTGATTATCTCTCCAAGTAAAATAAAAATGAACATAAAACCAAAAACTGCAATCATTCTTCTGACAATACAATTTAACCCATTAGCTTACTAATATTATTTAGAATTAGAATAATATTTATTAATAAATTAATATATACATATAATCAGATTATATATATAGCTACTAAAGAAAAGGGAAAAAAACTAAATTATGTTGTGTTAGTAGGATCATTTTCAGTGTTAACATACAGTATAGTCAAAGCCATGATAATTAGCTGTAGCATGTCCTGACTGGCCGCTGTCTTAATAAGTAGAAAGGTTAGATTTCTCTGGAGTGATCGAAGGGAAATTCAAAAATGAATTCAAAAATGAAACATTATATATATTTTAAAATCTGAATAGTGATATTGCAAAACATTTTCATTGTAAAAAGTAGTGTTTGCAAATACAAGGATCCTAGGTTTGCTCTGAATTATTTCATACAGAAATCTCTTCATTACTTTTTATAATGAGTTCTTGCCAGAATCAGTAAACCTCTGGGAATGATGATAACCTGGCTTTGTTGTACTGTGTTCCAATTATCAGTACAATAACTATTTATGGTCCATCTGTCAACAAACAAGCATAATTATATCACTTTATACAAAATGGCAGCTTCAATCCCATATTTTATTTATTCAAAGGAGATTGGATTACACACAACAGATTTCTTCTTTGTTACTGCTTGCAAACATTAAAACAAAAATAAACAAGAATCAAGCCAAACTCACAAGTTATAAATGTATAAAATACACTTTTTTCCCCTAAAAAAATTGACTTTTAATTGATTGTACAAACTACTATAAACTAACCTTAATTTCCTTGTTAACCTTTGTGCACTTTCTACAAATGAGACATAGCGTAATTAAATTATTTCAAGATAATGATGCTGCAAAAGCTTATTTTTTTTTCATTTCTAAACCCATCTTTCCTCCAAATTCAAATGACACATTGAAAAATATTTTCATGCAGCACTACCAGAAACTCAAACTTGCTTTTAAATCAATCAAAATGATGATGTCAGTTGTTTCTGAGATTTTTGCAGCAGAAAAAGAAGAAGGAAAAGTTTCTAAATACAGTAGGAACTTCAAAGTATATCCAGCATAGTGCACTATTGGGGAGAAAAGGCATGACAGGGCAAGTTGGAACGAGGTTAGAAATGCAAAATACACTGGCTGAGAGAGGCATCATGGTCAGGTACAGTAATTGGGAAATGAAATGAAATTACAGAAGCTTGAAAGGACGGAAGACTATGGTAATTTCTATCAATTTTCAATTGGTATCAGTTTGCCATCTCTGGTTGTGACTACAAATTCCTGGTATGTAAAAAAGATAAATCAGTGATAGATACATAAAAGTAACAAGAAATGTATAACATTAAAAACACAAAAAGGGTAAATCTGTCAATTTGGCTTAAAATAATGCCTTTACAGTCCATGGTTTTTGGTTTGTTGTAAGAACCAATGTTGTACTATATCTGGTTATGTGTGTTTGACCACAAATTAAAGAGGACCCATGAACACATGAGTAATTACACATTATGAGCATGTGTGTTCAGGACTGGAAACTGGAGGAACTTAACACATATGGTTGTGGGTGTCTGAAACAAGCTTCCCACCCATACTATTAAAATACATTTCTTTGCTCATATAATTAAAAAAATGGCTAAATTATTTTTTCAGATAAGGATGTTATTGACAACTAAATGAAGAGTGCCAAATTACCTCGTCTTAGTTATAGCCTTTCTTATTTTCTTAATCATGTAAAAATATAAAATAAATCTTTGTTTTTCAATCATAAGATATTTCATGTCACAGAGATAAAATTATCTGATACATTTCGGACATTATTCCTACAATATTAAGACGGAATATTATAATATGAATTCTTGCAAAGATTATACTAAATGCATATTTGCAAGTATTGCATTAGTCCACACTGTTACGTTAATTACTGACTTTTTAGTGTAAATTGTTAATATTAATAAAATAATCCATTATAATCATTTCATTTCTTTAAATAGCTTTATCATCACAGACAAAAGTCAAAGGTCAGCTCCACCGCACTGAGAAAGAAAGAAAAGGAGCACAGCAGGATTCCCAAGACAAATCTTCTCAAAGTCATATTCTCTAGTTACCAATTAATCACAACACAATATTTCCCCTTACAACCATTTTAATAACAACTTGTGCCCAAGTTACCGTCATTTCTCTGTTGAGCTGTTTTCCTTAAAACAGGTAATAGACAAATGAAAAAAAAAGTTTAAATCAACTAAAGTTTTTTATTTTAAAGTATGCAAACTAAACAAAAGAGAGATTCCACACATAATTACTACATATCATGTGCATTTTTCCTATTTTGAATAACCACTGTTTTATAGTGTCATAATTATGTTTTCTTTTTTATGTTCTTTAGGATGTCCGCTGATCTATATACAGTAGATAAATATATAGACATCCTCTTGCTGTGGCCTTTTCTTAACCAGCAAATTAAATTGCAATATAACATCTATTAAAATCATTTAAACAATGTTCAATTATTCCTCCAGATCCCTGTTACATTGCACAACAAAACATAATTTGTGATATCTAGTTATCTATTAAATATTAGGTGAAATCATGTTGGCCTTCCTGGTTTTATTTTTAATGAACAAATTTATGCATTTATGCAATTTATGCATTTTGTTCACAACAGGTATAAAGATGACCTGGAGAAAGACAACTTAGATGCAAAGATTTTGATATTTAATAGACCAGAAATATAACAGTGAAGTATTGATTTTTGGCTTCAACCTTAACTGCCCCTCCAATTGGAAGTTCATTTGTATAGGCTAGGAGGGAGAGCAGTGGAGCAGAGAGAAAGAGGCAATTTAAAGCACACAGCAAAAAAAAGGTTAAAAAACCCTTTAGTTGCCTTTGATTGCTTGTTGGGTATTTATTATTGAATGAACAAAAGGTTCTCTTCAGAAGGTAAATGTGCTATAAAAATGTTACTGTGTGTTAAGAGGGAATTAAGTGAGTCGTCCTGCATGATCTTAAAAATGCCAACAGTATTAAAAACTGTAGTGTACCATGCCAGTTGTGAGAAAAGGTTGTTGGTGTAACCACTTTTAATCAAAACATATCAACTCAACTGTATTTAACAGTTTTAAGTTCCTGGGAGTTAACATCACAGAGGACTTAACCTGGACACACCATGCCAACATCATGGTCAAAACAGCACGGTAGCGCCTATTCATTCTCCGCAGGCTAAAGAAGTTCGGCATGCCGTCACATATCCAGGCCAGCTTCTACAGGTGCACTATTGAGAGCATCCTGACTGGATACATCAATGGCTGGTATGGGAACTGCTCTGCCCGGGATTGCAAAGTACTGAAGAGGGTGGTGAAGTCAGGGCAGTTCATTACTGGCTGTGAGCTACCAAACATCCAGGATA